GGGCTGGCATTAATATAAAAAGGAAGGGGAGAAATCTCGTCTGCATATGCAACTCTCATTGACTGTACCCAAATTAATTTAGCTGAAAGGTTATGAATGAGTGTGCCGGGGAGCAGCCGCTTGTAGTGATCTATGGACACATCTACACGCTGCCAGTTCTGTTTGTGCGCTCACTCTGATAAAGGTCATGTACCGTCATTTACATAATGCACCTGCACAAAACAGCAATATTTCTGCACTTTGGCAGATAAAGCCTGGGTGAATTCGGCAATGAAAACTCTTAAATCAAACTGCAATCTACATGTTTGCTCGCAAGCCTCCAGGGATGTTAGAAGAAGCTTGACAGTTGGGGCTTTTGCGGATTTATCAATGAAAATGGGTTTGTAGAAAAATTCATATATGCATCACGTCTCTTCAAAATGGCATACACAACAGTCGATCGAAAGCAATAGATGTCAGCTGTGATAGTTATGTTATTGTTTGTTTATTTATGTTTGTTTTTGAGTTCATGGGAATCCCTCATAGAATTTTTAAACTTTCGTAAAAATATAATCAACTTAATGGGACTTTTATGTTCACATGCATGGCTTTAGCAACCTTTTGGTCACTTTCCCCACGAAAAGTATATATTTGATCCTCAGCTCTACCTATCACTGAAGTAGAATTTACCGAGCGTTGGATTCTTCACCCACTAACAGAAAACATGAGCTGGGTTTAGATCGTTATGAGACAGGTTAGTTTTACCCTACTGATGATGTGTTGTTGCAATATTAACTCTTGTCTTGTCTGCTAACATAAGTAAGTAAGTAATCTTTATTTATATACCGCCTTTCACAGACCAGAGTCACAAAGCGGTTTACAATTGTTATTTTTTTGGGCACTTGTCTCTCACTCCACACAGAGATGGGAGCGGGGTCGCCAGTATAGGAGGCGCATGCCAGAACTATTGTACATATCTTTAGTTGTATGGTAAACCGGAGTACCCGGAGGAAACCTACGCAGACATGGGGAGAACATGCAAACTCCACTCAGAAAGGCCCTGGTCCGACCGGGATTCGAACCCAGGACCTTCTTGCTGAGAGGCGAGAGTGCTAACCACTCAGCCACTGTGCCGCCCAAGTTTCCTTAACATCCTTTAACCCATGGATAGAACAACTTTTTCATATAGCAAAGTGAATCAGTGTGGTTACATGGGTAATACTCATATGATCCCAATCCCTGGTTCGAGGTTATAATTTTGGCTGTTTTTTTTTTTTATTACTTTCTGTGACAAATTGGCAAAACAACTTTTTAAAGGTGAGCCTGCCAGTTTAGCCACTCCTTCATCCTGAGACTAGTCAGCGCCGCTTTAACGAGACCCCTTTTTACGATAGCACTAATTACTAATTACACAAGTGGTTGGCTCGCTCCATGGCACAGCGCTAGCTCTTTTGTTATTCTAATTGTAGTTTATTTGAAGAATAGTGCCTCTGTGAATCCTAGCACTATCCAGGAAGGATGAATGCGCCTTGAATAATATATCATCTTTGCAGAACCACTCAAGATGTGGTACGGGGGGTACATCTCCATTCTTGTCCCTCTTGTGGCGGATTGATGATGAGCAATCGTTCATTTGGATGGCCAACCTTTTCCCGTACCCAATCATTAGACCTGCTATTGTGGCCCGTTCAGGAATATGACTGGCAGAGGTGCGCCCCATCAGCCAGTGACTAATTACTCCAGCCAGTGCGCGTCCCTTGATGGAACCAGGCGCATTGAGTGGGCCCCAAATCGGAGCGCCGCACCATGATAATTATTTTCATAGATGAATACAGGCGCGGGCAGGATGATGAAGTGGCCATTTGCGTCCGGAGACTATCACAAGCAAACATGGAGAGGGGGCTTTGTTGCTGCTGAGAAATCTAGTCCGGAACAGACCTCAGTTCCTTGTGGCTGTCCAACTATGTGCAGTGAGGACCTTTAAAGTGGTGTGGTCCATTTTCCCCAAAAATTTATCTGTAACACCATTAAATGTGCTTGTTGTCATTGCCAATTCTGGACCTTTAGACACCATTTCACTTGATGTGAAACATATAATAAGAAAACTTGACGTTATGGATAGAGGACTACTGAAATCAATAACAGAAATAAATAAATGAAAAAGTTGTAAGAACATGACAGAAAAGGGAATACTGGTACTTTGCAGCCTAAAGGGTGATAAACTGCTACACTACATAGAATTTAAAAAGGACTTATTCCTAAACCCGTGCTTGAACCTGACAAAAGACAGTACCAAGACTCAAGATCTGAGATGAGTTTACAGTTTGGCAAAAAACTGCACTGGGAAAGAAAAATCTCCTTTAAAGTCATGTGAGGGGTGTGAACACTGCCTGCTCGCATTCTGCTGTGTTGACATAGGAACATGTGCTGCTACTACAAAATTTTGTTGTTACAGAATGCAAACAAAAATTTTACCATTTCGACTGTGATTAATCAATACTGTGATTAATCAATACAATTACACACTTTGCCTTTTCTGCCTCTTTGAGATGTGATGGTATTGTTTACCCTTTGAGCAGTTCTGAAGTCTCTGCTCGGTAATAGTTTTTACTACCTGGTCAGCTCTCCATCCCTTTAAAGGCTGCTCTGTGATCACTGGGGCTGGGTTGAAGATTTGTGAGGACCCCCAGGCTATAGCCACTTAAGAGCACCAAATCCTGAGGACCCCAGAGCCACGTCCATAGCTGAAACCATAAACCAAACCGTCCGACACCTTCAGAGTAAACTCCGACCACCTCTCTATAAACATTTCATTTGTTACTTGTAGTTTCAATAAAATCCAGTTAAAATTAGCCCTAGTAACCCAATAATAATATTAAAACCAATGCCTAAGATTTAGTTATTTAATATTCCAGTTGTATAGTAAATGGATTGTAGAAGAATGACCCCTCTCTAAAATGTGTATAATATTGTAGAATGCATTTGTAAATTTTAGGGCTGTAATTTGATACTTGATTATTTGGTTATCTTATATTTATATTGTTCAATGTAGTTATTTAGATCCCTGAAGGTCAGTGAAGGTTGTTGGAGAATATGTTGCAATTATATGCACATTGGTCTTATTAATGAAAATGCATTTCAATTTTTTTCTGAGTTCTGGTTGTAGAATTATGAGTCATAAAACCTCGTCTCAGCAGGTTTATTTCAGAAGAAAACAAAACAGATTTTGTGATTACTGAATGAGTTGATAACCATTTCAGTAATGAATTAGTAGTTGTAGCCTTAGTAACTTGTGAACATTCTGAGGAGTTATTGAATTATGGTTAAAGCCTAAGCACATGTGCACTCGGTACAGTATGGCAAACTCAAAGGTGTGAGAAAACACCCAATTTTGTCATTATGTGGTAGAGTTCATAATAATTGATGAAAATGGAAAAAGGTGGCACAGGAATAACTCTGGACAGGCCCATGAGTATTGCCTAATGAATATTTTACATATATTATTCATGATTATTTTAATTACGCTGGTTACAAAATTGACGTCATAATTCATAATGGACAGGTTCACATTGGGGTTGAAACGTACAACACAAGCTGCTCATTAAAAGTTCCTACACGGTGATTATGTGACCCCGCCATGGTAAAGGCGGATGTGAATCGTGAAGAAAAGTGTTGAGTCGAGACATTGATTAATTTTGGTAACACTATAGTATGCACTCCATCCCCTGTGTTTGTTACGGAGCCCTCCCTCTCCCAGCAGCAGCTCTCCCCACCAGAGGCGTCCTGCTGGGTTTGAAATGAGACAAGTGGCGCACGTGCCCAGAAGTGTGCACAAAGAGCAGGTCGGTGTCCGCACCGTGACAAAGGGGTGGACTGCAGCATACGCTCAGAGGAAAGGGTTGGAATGTATAGGAAAGAAAACGTTTTACTGTAACGAAGCCCTCTTTGTAGATGATTTTGTTCAGGTTTCTATGTATATTTACAGCAAGCAGAACTAGGTCAATATGCTGTATATACAATCTTCAGTGCTTTTTTAGAACAATATCAGGACCCACCCACAGTTTATACCACTGAACTGTGACTGAAATGTTTAGTATATTGATCATTAATTCTGTATATATCCACACATTGTTTTAACAACCTTGTAGTTAGATAGCAGTAAAATAAACTCCATCCATCCATTTTCTTCCCCTAATCCATTTCTGGGTCGGGGGGGGGGTGGCAGTCAGAGCTACACCCAGTACACAGAGCACCAGCCCCTCAAATAAACTCAAACAATAAAAAAAAATCTGCCATTGGGACTAGTTTATAAGTAAATTGTGTTACATAAACTAATCTAATTTATTAGATAAAACAAAGGTTTATCAATTTTTCAGTAATTTTTATAGACCTGGAGAATGTTCCATTATGGACAAATGTCTTAATCTTACTTTCTTAAATCATCTTTTCAAGGAAATCTTTCTTTCTAGATACTTTTTTTTTTGAAAGTGTAGTAGATACATCATTTCCCAGAAAAGGCTCATGACCCACACAAGTTGATCCTGCAAACTTCTTTTGTGTCCTGACACGCCATTTGAGAACCGCAGCACACACATTTTACTTTGGTTGGACAACTTCTTAAAGCTCAAAAATGTCTTCACATCTTTCACCAGTCATATAATTTCAATATCATTGTTTTCCATGTTATTACTTTTGTGTCACACCAAAACGACCTGTTCCCGACAGTGCTGCTTTCTCAAGGTGTTGTCATTACCAATCGTGTAATGGGATAGCCCTGGGGAAAGGAACCCCAAAACGAGGGTAGACCCTGACGAGGCGCTAGCGTCATTATCAAAGACACAAACACAATGATTGCGCCTGCGGCTCGCATTTAGGTGCTTTCAAAGTCCGATTTGGGCAAAAACTCCCAGTCAGACTACAACACAAAGCTGTCTTTATGTCCTATAGCGTAAATGCCGGGCCTAGTTGTAGCATGCTGGCTGGTAATTGCTAACACATGTGCTACCTCTGTCTCCCTGCAGCCGGCCGAGGGAGTTCTGGCGCCTGGACTACTGGGAGGACGATTTAAGGCGGAGACGTCGCTTTGCCAGGAACCCGCTCGGATCCACGCACTCCGAGGCCACTCTGAGAGCCGCCACAGAGCACGGTCAGTCAACCCCCCCACACCTCACACCACGTACAAGGCCATAAAGATTAGCCCCGCCGTAGCAGTAAAAGATTTATGGTTCACCGTTAGAAATACTTCTTGTAAAGTGCGAAAAAGTATTTGAATTTCACACAGGTAATTTACCCCTCTGGCTCCTATTAAGCAAACAAGGGTGTTAGCATAGCATTTGCAGAAAGCATCTTATTACTGAATGCAAACTTGTGTTGCTTTTTTATGCATTACAGTGGACGCTAGATGCGGTAAGTTGCCGTCCTTACTTTGCTGCTCTATTCTTTCTTTTGTAAATAATTGCCATTTTATATCTCCATAATCGGTTGCTTGTGGCAATCTAGAATGTGTAGGTATTTAAGAGTTATGTTGGGTGATGCAACAGTTGTCTATATAGGGGTCATAGATTAGATTTACTTATGTACACAAGACAAAAAGAGTGGTTGGGCGAAGCAGATGCTTATTTGGTTCCAACCCCTCACTCATTGATCACAACTCAAAAACAGACACCTATATCGGCCATGTTAAGAGCATTTTGTAAATGAATACAAGAGTAATGGCCACACTGAGTTCAGCAATTGTTGCAAATGGTGTACTTGTCACATACTGGTTATTAGTCAATTATTGGTTAGCAAAATGCATACAATATCAGTTAGTCTATCAGTTAGTCTGGCTCTTCATAATTATTGCTAATAATAATTCAGTCTTGTACTACCTCAATACAAGTCTCAGAACTGTCCTTATACAGTCTTAAGTTTGTATTATTTGTAGAAATTGGATGACACAACCTGGCAGACATTACTACCCACCTGTTTAACGCCTTTGATACAATTTGGACGAAGTGGCATGGATTAAGCAACACATTATGCATTATGTATATTATCCTTACAGTCTTTAAATTCATTTAGCAACCTAAATGGAATACATTGATTTAACTTTCAGTGATGAATAGTTCATGTCTCTTGGGGTAGAATTGATCATTGTAAACCACAAAACCAGCCCAGTACTTGTGTGTAATTTGGCAGCTCAAAAACCAGACTAAATCTTAAATGCGGTTTGGAAAAGGCTTCAATAATCTATTACACTTAGCCACAATGCAGACTTGTCACAAAAGCACCCGCATTGACCCGTCTTCGCTTTCACTTGTAACCGGTTTAATCAATGATCTGCTACAGTCGCATTGTCCCCGCGCAGAGACAGGTGCAGATTTTCAATAAACCTGAACCGGGAACAGGCCAACATTCCACCACAGCCACTTCCAAATGACACACGTCTCAGCATTAGTGCTCAGAGTTGCATTTCTCTTCTCGAGTGTGTGTGTGTGTAATCCCTCATCTCTGCACACGTTCAGACCGCAACACCATTACCGCCTGCACTAAATGACCAGGTTTAGCAGCTCAATCAACCACTCCGGGCTTCAATAAATGAGCCCCCCCCCCAAAAAAATCGCAGTGTTTTAAATGGCAGGTGGAACAAGAGTCAACGAGAGTGTGATCTAAAAGCAATATGGGGAGCGAGGGATCCAGGGAGATTGGTGGCCTGGCGTATACTGGCGTCTGGAGACTTGGCGTTGGAGTCCAGCTGTAGCATGGCTCTGCATTTGACCGTGCTTCCATCTTAAGTCCACCCGGCTCGCTTGTTTTCTCTTCAGCTTGTTCATGACAGAGAGCAGACAGCACTTAGGCTCTGTCATGGCTCTCCGCTAACTGCGCTAAATGTGTTTAAGGCATGCTATGGGTCACTTTGCACAGGCTGTGGCTGGGAAGGTTCCCACAGGTGTTCTGGGGATTCTGTTTTCAATATTGGAAAGGCAAAGTTGGGTTGGACTTTCATGTGTTGACTTGTGTCGCTTTTTATATGAAATTGTACTTTTATGACACTAAATTTGTACTCTTGGGTGACCTTTGTTATTGTTGCAACCCGAAGGATAATACATATTTGAGGACACAGACAGGTTCAGAGTTCAAAATAGACTTTTATTTATGCATTTTCTTTTAAATAAGTGAACTCTTGATTTTTTTTTAATGAAATGCAAGAAAGCCAGCCCCGTGTCCAGAACAAAAAAACCCCCAAAGTAATAAAATTAAAGTTGGACCTGGTGGGCCAGCCAAAAGAAGCAAAATGGGCCGACAACAAACCAACCCTATACAGGGACGCTGGGATCCGATGCCGGCACCCTAACTAGGTAATAAAGAAAATCCTCAAATGTGACCACCGGACCCACCAGATCAAACAAAAATAAGGCCAAGAAAAAAGGTTGACAAACCACGCGGTGTCTGAGAAGGCAGCTAACAGGACCAGGAGGGAGCGTGCGTGCAGCGCGTTCCTGCTCACCTCAGCAGGTGTAACGAAAGAGTTTGAGAGCAGAGAGGGAAGGAGTATAAGTAGCCCTGTCCACCACCAGGACAGGGCTATATACTCCTGTCCCGAGCTGCAAAATATTACAAAAACAAGTTACTAGTAATAAAAATGTACCTATATAAATTATCCTACAAAAAAATATAAAACCCAAAAATACCTGGACAAAAAAGACATGACCCAAAACAAAGGGAGAAAAGGTGCCCAAACATACAGTAAGTTATGTTTGTGTAAGCCCTCAGTCGTACAGGGATTAGTCAAAGCAAAGGAAGGTTTCTCACCCATCTGTACTTTTTAGCAAGTTTGGACGAAACGTCGGGAAAATGCTAAGAAGTACAGATGATGGGTGAGAAACCTTCCTTTGCTTTACAGTAAGTTATGTAACAGCAGAATATGTTAACAGGATACAGATAATTTGTAATTTTTGCTGAATTGTCCCATTTTTTCTTTTCATTTTGACCACAAACAAAAGTTTAAATTAAACTAATTGGACATCACTTTGAGCTACAGTGAGTAGGACTGTGTTACAACATTAGTAGTGAGTTGCATCATTGTTGTTTTCGACCAGGCTGGACAAGACAAATAATTTGATTTTTTTTATTTTTTTATACAAAAACTGTATATCTCAATATTAGGGCTGTGACAAGTGAATCAGTGAATCACAACTAATTGATTTTTGACACGGTTGTCAACTTATTTAGTTTATTGAGTAGATTACATTTACAAGTTTTTTAGACTCAAAAGTGCTGAGACTGAAGGGACTTCAGAACTAATTTGTTTGTGAAGTAATTTAATCAAACAACCCAATGTGTAACAATTAATTTCTATGGAGATGTTCTCCACTTGAGCTTTGTTTTGGCCAATGTTGAAAAAAACATTCACTGACCTTTCAGGATCTTATCAACTAATCAAAAAAATTGTTAATTAGAGCCCTAATCCATATTGGTGCCAATAAGCAGCCCGGTTTATATTATTTTTCCATTGTGAGTAACTATATTCACTGCTTTATGTTCACAATGATACATTTGTTGAACATGTTTGTTTCTTGTGCTGATTCCAATTTGATTTAGCATTATTTACGGTTATCCTTTGAAAACAATAAAGTTTGTACAATGTTTATAATTGTTTTGCCCTTCTAATTGCATAAACTACAAACTATGACGACTAGTAGTAGTCATCTCCCTCTCTTATAAAGAAAGAGAGATTCTATTAGAAACAACTTTTATCATGTATGCTTTATTTAATTATTACCAAAGTCTAAATAAGCCCAAAATAAAAGTCTTGAGTGACAACATACTGGCAACACTTATTGGAATATGCATATATTCATCGCTGAGAAAACCGACATTTTTACATTTATTTTCAAAGTCAAATGCGGTATTGGAGCCTTCAGCCATTCGTGTTGCCCCCAGAGACGGTACTTGGTCCACACTGAGGCTAAAGTCGGTGAATATATCATTAGAACGGCTGCATGACAGTGAAGGCTGACGGCATGGGTCTGCTGAGGACCTTTCGTCTTGTTTTAGTCGACCCTACATTTGTTGCGGAAGTGCAGCTCAGGATGAGAATGCGGGGCTGGGCTTTCCGACCGCACAAAGGTCAGATCTGGCTGTAATTATATTCATCAGACTGAGGCGGGACGCTCTCTCAGACCCCCACTCACAATATTAGGTGTAGAGGCATCAGCGTGGCCAGCTACTAAAGGAGCAGTAGGAAGATCTTCAACATGTGCTTCTTACTACACCATGAGACCATTACTGTAAGCATCATTTAGCCAACATTTCAAAACTACAATGGATTTTATGATTTAGGAAAATACATGCAATAATGGAGGATTTAATTGTATTTGTGAAATGAGTGTATTGTGATCCTGAGGGCTGTATCTAATGAACCCCTTTGCTTAATCCATTAGCTGTTTCAAATGTACATATTACATTTTATCTTAGTTTGAGGCGGATAAAGCCGAAGGGAAGCCACCTTGGGATGTACATGTTGTTTGTTTCCCTCAGAACTTTAATTATTTATGTATTTCACACAATTATTGATAACATTTGAGTCTTAAAATCACATCTCCCGGCACATACATGTGTAGAAATGTGTGCATAAAGCAGTTAATGATTTATTCATTACTAAAATGTGTTTATTGTTGAATAATCTTGATTTATCGTGAGGTCATACTAATCCTATTATTTGAAAAAATTAAAATAAACCAGATTCCCTGAATATTGAATTATTTGATTGTAGATGTGTTGTGTTAAACATATATTCAAAAAAAGGATTGTAAAAATGAAAATACACATTGTGTTATGTGTTTTTATGAGGTGGTTCAAATGAACAGTAAGCAAAAGTGCCATTTTCCATACAGTCTGTATGCCGGTCCTGCAGTTCATTAATCTTTATTATCTTTATTCCTATTAAGGAAATGAAATGAGTGTCATTTGGGTTGCCATGTTTTTGTTAACCTCAGCTTGTTTGGACTGTGCTTAGCATGCAGGCAAGGTGTTCTATTTTGGCAGACCTTGCCTGCATGCTAATTTGCGCTTGTGGTAATACCTAGTTCAATGTCTCTCTCTGGTCCAGGTTAATGTTCATTGTACATTATTACAATTTAATTATAGATTGTATTATGTAGTAATGTTATAAAACCAGCGAAAATGGCATTTTACTTTAGCTACTTTAGTTAGATTCATTTTGTCGGGTTAGTAGAAATACTATTTGGTTCTTCTATACCAGACAATAGTACTATTATTGTCTGGTATAGGAGAACTAACTATAGTACCAACAGCCTTCTATTGTCTTGGAAGAACCAAATACATTTATGTTCCTTTTAACAAGTAAAATTTACTAAGTTATTTCTTAATCATAATAGGTAATAATTTATAGTCTTATGTCAGCTTGTATAAGTGTGTTTTAGAGTGCCAGGCTCCAATGGAGGATATACAAGGCTGGAGCCAGCAGCTTGGAGTGCTTCTCTGAGTATTTACGGCCGCAGAGAGGCATGTTGTGAGGGGATTGATTTGGTCTGGTCCAGATCCTTGGACCAGAGGTGGCTGAGTAAATACCTGAAGACTAATGTCTCTGTTGGTCTAATCAATACTCGCCTCATGACTTCGCCCCTGGCCCAGCTCCCGTTAAAAACAAATTTGTTAATTTTGACAATTTAATTGCCGCGACCATGCATACCTCAAGTCACATAAGCAGGTAGTTGAAGCCCGCACTGGGGAAATGGGCTTTCGGAAAAAGTGGAACTTGTTGGATCTGTGAACGTTCCTGTGCTCTTTGTGATGAGTGATGAAGCCCCCCACTCCATTCTTTGCTTCTTGTCACACGGCTGCTTTATGTTGAGGGTCCACACTTTACATGTAATAACCTTACACAACAATAAATTTTAATTGCAGGTGTGAGGAAAGATTTCATGTTTTACTCTGCAGGGTAAATACTCTGGTCAGAATATTAAAAAGAAAAGTATTTTAGATCAAAACACCAAAATGCATGTTTGTTTAATTTCTTGTAGACTGGTATGAGATGAATGAACATAAATCTTCCATAGTGAACCGGCCCCATAACAAGCTTGTTGCACAATAGCCAAAATGTTCTAGTTAAGATTTACTGTGTTGTCCATTACAATCTATTGTGGGAACTGATACATAAAAGATGCAGATATTTATTGTGAGGTAGTGACTTGGCATTGTTGTATTATAATTATTTTTCCCCATCTGTTTGGATACTTTAAGCACAGGGAAACAAAAAAGCCAACATTTCCGTCTGACTGCTGCACATCACTATCCCGTATGCAAGTACAACCCGTGCTTCTCTTTGAGACAAATACTTGAGGGCCTGGCTTCCCTCTCACACACTTGCACCACTAACTCCCAGCAGAATTGCCAAATTAAAAGAATCAAAAATAAACAGGATTGACTTTGCGAAGCCTTGAGTGAGAAGCGTGCACATGGCCTGTCACTTATGCGCACATTTCTTTTACATATGCCCCATAATTAGCTACATAAATCTAGCAATGTTACATCCTGGTCTAAACAATTTGCCGAATAGTGCTTGTTTTTCTTTCAATCAGCCATAGCATTACAGAAAAAAAATTTCGTTTCAGAGCAGGCGCAAACAAGGTATCGCGGCCAGTTGCGTACAATCGTGTGTTTACGTTGCCGTACTTTGTTGAAAATCTGCCGCCGTTTTGGGGCTCATCCGATAAGTCCCCTGTCCAGTGTGGCAGCGTGAACAAAATGGCATGTGGTACGTATTAGGGGAGCTGGTAGTAATTTCACCGCTGCTAACTAAAGAATCCTCCAGGGAGGCTTAATTACAGGAAGACCATTCTAAATATCAGCGAGCCGCATATTTTCCATGACAAGAGATTTTTTAGGCCCGATCGGCTGGCACTTTCAAAGTCTCCAGCCGGGGCCATGTGACGCAGAGGCCGGGCAGGCGGAGGAAGTGCTAAAGATCGTCCCTTAGGTGAAGCCGCAGAAATAGTTTGCGATGGGAGTAAAGTCAGCTCAAGAGTGTGCTGTGTGTATAAAGCAGACAGCTTCAGCACTACTGCAAGTCAATGGGTCGGTAAATGTTTGCAGATTAGGAAGGTTCATAAATAATCCAGGCCTTGACCTCAAATAATTTTTGAAAAGATTTGATATGTTAGCAGCATGGAGAGTTTGGATGTCACAAGTATAAAATTGTTTGTTTGGTGCATCTTAAAGGCACAGTATATATGTATAATCATAGACACACACACACAGACACATTCACACAGACACGCACACATCTGTTTAGTTTGGTGGTCTACTGCAGTGGTTTCCAACGATTTACCCCCCAAGTCTCAACATGCAGAGTACCACATACAGTATAGACAAATTATTGTTTAGTGCCATATGATTTTGTCACTATAATAATAATAAAATTTTGTGGTTTGTTTCAGAATATTCATATATGTGGTCATGTTGTAAAAATATAATATTATAATCGTTTAACATTCAAATAGTATTACCCCTTAAGTATGTCCTTGCATTCCGTAAACATTACCCCTGGTTTGGAAACTATAGTTGTAAGAAAATGTGCAGTAGACGTAAAATCTTTAACGTCTAAAGTGTTCTTTCTGTGCTTAAGGTTCTCGAATCTTGTGTCAGTAAGTGTGCTGTAAGTGTTTTATTCATAGCTCTCGTGTCTAAGCAGTGGGTCAGTGGGGTATGCGGAGGGAAAGTATTTGGACCACGACTGTGCTGTAGCCAACAGTCTGCTCTGTCTATAATGTATTCATATAATGCATTCATCTGCTTAGTAATGCTTTGTGGAGCACTGTGCTCTGTGAAATGTGTCGTGCCTGTGCATTTTGTAACTCGCCGAATACCCAACTTGGATTGCACACAAAAAACCTCCACACAGCATACAAAAATGAATTGTATTTGTTGTAGTTTGAATGAAAATAGGTTGCTATTACTTATTATAGGTGAATGTATAGTGTTACAGTATTTTTCCATTATGTATTTTACATTCTTTATGCTTCATAATGCAATGCTAAAATATAACATTATGCCTTCCAAGTTCGAATGGCCAGCCTTATGCTTGTGCTTTTCCACAAATATTTCTTGCCTTTACCAGATTCTCATTGATTGTATGTTGTATGTTCCTTATTCCAGCATCGGAGGAAGATATTCTGAAAAGTCAGCAGTCCATCCGTAGCCAGGCCCTGGGGAACCAGAACTCTGAGAGTGAATCTCTGCTGGACGGAGACGAGGACACTCTGTCCTCTCTAGAAGATAAGGAGCTGGACACTGTCACAGGTACGACACAGCGAAGGTGGTATACAGTATGTTCTGTGCATCTGTCAGCACTGGACGTATTAGTATGGAGTAGGCACTATAGTCCAGACTGGAGACAACAATCAATGCCCATCGAAATCATAAAAGATCCATGCTCTGGACATGTACGCTTCTAGTCTGTCTAGCTTCTAGTCTAGACAGTGCTATATTTTATGGGGATACAGGACTGAAACACTTAATAAAAATCTAGGTTTTTGATTTACATAAAATAACAATTGTGCGTAATTAATAAAGTATTGATTGAAATAGTATTATTCAATAAATAATACTGCAACAATTATTTCATAAATGCTTGTTAAACAGTTTTACATTTACAGACATGATTTAAATTTATTTAGATTTGTGTAAATGCTTACATTCTCTGCATGTTGCCGTATTACTTGTTTTAAACTGCTGTCACATTGTAAATTGTAATGTGGCTTGCTAATCGGGTACTGGAAGACTTGAAAATATTTTCTGCATGATTGCCTAAATATTACAATTCACTGATACACTAAAACAAACAAGTATAGTGTCATGTTGGCTAAAACAATACATTGTATCCTTTGTGTTTAAATACACATTTTATGTATAGATAGAATAAACTAACAATGCTCTGAATGTTAGAGTTTAATCCGATATTTAAATTTTCGATTTCCTTCAAACGAGTTTGTATGGTATTGTTATGAGAAGCGATCGTCCAAAATGCGGCTGCAAATAAAGACGTTTGTGAAATGTGAATGCAGATCCTTTAATCCACGCATCCCGCGAGTTTGCGCTACAGATGCTAATGAAATATCAACGCGCGTTAATCGGATATGAGTGCGTGTGTGTCCGGGGACAGGCTCCAGAGGACTGATCCACATAATGAGGCTCAGAGCTCATAAACCAGCAGCACGATGACAAAGGCCTTAAACACACCGCTGTCTCGTAAAGCACGCTCCCCATTCGCACTCTAGCTCTGCCGGACAAACTTGTTATTCCAAAGACACAAAATCCGGTATTTATTCCATGCGTCAAAGAGCAGGTAGAAATGGGGGCCCAGCAAAAACCCGCGCGTTTGCAAATACAATGCACTTCACCTATTGTCATATTCTCGTGAATGAAGATTGATGCTAGATTAAAGCACTGGGGATCGATACGCACTGACGTAAGCAAAGATGAGCCGTGCAGGCCTGGGTAAAGTAGCGCGCAACTCAATTTCGATACATTTTAGAAGCTTGGAAATGTTACTACGATTTTCATGTTGGTAATCTTTGTAATTTTACTCATACATATTCCTTATTCAAAACAATTCCTTAATAGATTAAAATACTGCAAATATTAAAATAAAGTTAATCAAATTAACTTTAGAAAATTATAGGTATCTTGAATTCGTTTAAAATTGCTTCTCTATTCTATCCTTATCTGGTCCTCTCTCGTCCATGTTAAGGCCCCGTAAGCCTGAGCACCAGCGCTCATCTGGTGGCCCCCGCAGTGGTGGTCAAAGGCACTCTATCCGTGACCGCCTCCGAGCTCTTCTTCGAAGTTGACGACGAGGAGCCCGGCTTCAAGGCCCTGGACCCCAAGGTGAGTGTCTCTGGGCGCCTGTCCACTGTCCACTGCCCATATTGTATTGCTGCTTGAAAATAACTTCTTACTAATGTTTTGTGTTGGTTTATATAGAAGTGTTTAAGTCTCACTTGGGTGTAATAAATTCGGGGTCCTTTGGTTATTAGCCTTGGCAAACTATTGTTTTGAGTTCAATTTATAAAGAACATAAATTGGACAAGTTTAGAATTATACAAATGCATTTTTTTAAGCGGTGCGTCATTTGCACTTCTTAGTGCAAGAGTTAATATAAAAAGCCTAATTGTCCATGAATTTTTAAAGATCTGATATCAAGTTTATTATTTGAGGCACTTTCTGCAATGGGCTGAGTGTGCGCCACAGGTGGTTTGTTCTCATTTATTGTGCATAACGTATGCTCACATGTGGTGTGTGTGTGTGTGTGTGTGTGTGTGTGTGTGTGTGTGTGTGTGTGTGTGAGTGTGTGAGTGAGTGTTTATAATAAAAGCCAAAGGCAGTCCCAGACTGTAGCCGCAGAGCTGAGCACTTCCTCGGGCCTGTTTGGAGACATGCCTATGCAGTTTCAGCTGCTCTCCATGAGGCAGGGATAGGGGAAAGGCTTGTTCACTTCAGTGTGTGTTGTTTTTATGCGCACGGATCTTACAGTCTAATGCGCAGCACAGCAGGGTCAACACACGACGCATAAATCCATTTGCAACATTTTATTTAGCATTTCTTTTCAAGTCACATAATGAAAAAACTCGAACTTGGCACGCTACATTAAAATTTCACTGAACGATTTTGTGCATATATTTAAATTAAAGTTGGTTCACTTTGTGAAAACATTTAACGAAGACAACAAAGGGTTCATTTATTTGAAATGTACCTTATTCTATGTGGCAGTGGCCCATTTGTCCCGTTTTTAAAAAAGAGTCTTTAGATGGAGTCCGGCCCACACACACTATAATTTGTCCAAGCTCTTGGCGTTGGTCAGGATCTCTCGTGCTAGTCTCCACGTCTGCTTGGCGGCAGCCTCCAGGGCCGAGTGTGGTTTCCCCTGAAACAAGTCCAAGTTTGGCAGAAAGTAGTGCGGGCATCTGCGGCACTGCAGACACGAGATGAGCTGCAGTAGGATGCCGTTGAGCCGGTCCCCCAGGCACGACTCGTCCCAGTCCGTCTCCCGCGGGTGCTTCTCGCACTCGTACAACAACAGTGTCTTCATGTGGTAGCTGTGGAGCGGCTGCCCGGGCAGCTCTAGATGACGGTCCCGCAGGGTCTTCAGCACCGAGAGACACTTCTTTCTACAACCGGCCATCAGCAGCCTGTTCTCGGCCTCGCTGAACTGCAGCACCCAGGCGTCGCTCTCCGCGGAGCTCTGCTTCCCCGTCAGAGAGTAGCATTCTTTGGACAGCAGGTTAAAGCCCTCCGCCTTGACCTCGGCCACACGGTTTGGACCGGGCCATGGAATGTGCGGAAGTGGCCACTGGGCTGCACTCCTGGGCCAGATGCCCGTGCATTTAAAGGCAGGAGTGATTTGTACCACGTAGCGCTCCCGAATCCGCAGCTTGACCTCGCTTGTGTCAGCCACCATCTTCACCACATCTCTGTAGCTGCATTTGTCCACGGCCTGTGCCACTAACGTTTGGAAACGAGAACGAATCTTCCGCGCAGAGAGGTAGCCCGAGGCCGTGATGAACTCCACCCAGAGAGACATGCTCCTTTTGCGGCCATCACTCAGCTTCAGCACCGCGCAGCCCGGGAGAGAGCCGTCATCCACAAAGTTAAAGACGCCCATCTGATTAAGGTACAGCACCACCTCGAACTCGTTTGGGGAGATGACCTCCATGCCCTCGTACCGCGCGTCTATCTCGCTCAGGGAGCTGATGAAGCGCGGCTCCTGCACCTCCACTTCTTTCAGTACATCTGACACCACTTTGCACACCTCTCGGATGGTCTTGGCGATGGCTCCTTTTCGAGTTTGGCATCTCTCGTTGTAGTATTTGTTGAGCTGGTAGACCAGCTTAGCCTGGGTGGCGATCATGTTGGGGCAGAGGTCCGGGCTGTACACCGGAGAATCGCAGTAAGTTGACGGATCCAACGCTTACCGGTGAAGCCCGAGGCGGGAGAAGACGGGCTCAATCCAAAAGTTTACTGCCTTTCAGCGGATGCACGTCAGCGGGAGAAGCAGGAAACCACGTAACGTTTGGCTAAATGTCAGTCCAGTCCTGATAACCTCCCAGTAAACACATATTCTGCTCGTGAATGCGTCCTCGGCCCACGTCCTGCGCGCGTCAGAACGTGTCTTTGCTCTGGTCCTCGCAGTGTCCACACTCAGCTGGAGCAGGACTTGTGTACTTTATGAATGGCTCCTTTAGAAGCAGAGGAAAGGGGCGGGCTTCTCTTCCTGCAATCATGTGCGAGCTGTCAGTGCAGCGGACCAATCAGAGGCACTCACTGCAGCTCCAAGCAGCGCCGCGCGTCACGCTCCAGAGTAGCATCTGCAGACAGATAACACTGTGCTCTTCCCCACTACAGTCTCCGGAGTCTGGACAGACCACGTTTACGCGCGCTCATGGGGCCCGCTACACTATGGCTATACCACAACATGCTGCAAAGGGACACACCGGAGCGGAATGGGCAAGGTTGCATTAACGCAGCTCCAACAAATAAACCTGCTTCTAGAATGCCCATTTGCTACCTAAATAGCTGCACGTTATATGCCTGCCATGCTAAATGTACATAGTTGTTTTTACTTGTCATATTTATACAGACGTATAAAATCTTTGTCTGACTATAAATTATTGGCTCAAATCTCTTATAGCTTGTTCTTATGGATTATACCGTTGTAATAAACTCTCAAGGATTTAGTGCCTTGCTTATTTTGTCAAAAGAAAGAACACACACTGGACATTTCTCCATAAGCCACATTTTTAGACAATTCATTAAAATATATATATATATACATATATATATATTTTTTTTTAAATCTGTATGTCGGCATTCTTATTTTATCCTTTCCTTTATTCCTCCGCTTCACCGTCAGAATGCGCGGACCCATGTTCTGCTGTCACACACTTAACACGCTGCCCTTTACGCGTCTGTGGCTCCACTGCAGCTAAAGACATCACGTGAATAATGCAAGCGGGTTTCACTGAACTGGAGGTCACGTCTACCGTGCACCGTCTCCGAACTCAGGACACTGAAGTGCGCTACAAATGCGTAAAAGACAAACCATATTTGGTTTTACACGGTGGACGCGTCTTCCTCTGAGACACCGCGGTCATTACCAGCACACCGCCTCTCACTTAATTAGTCATTACGTTACGCATGAGTGTTTTTGATCGCGAATGCCTGTAATCGCTAACGTTCAAAATGACGCTTGCGCAGACGATCTAAATCATTGTCTTTGAGGAGTCTCTCACAAAGTATTAAATACATGATCACAGACCAGCCATTGTAATTATGGGTATTAATTTATTTTTGTATTGCTAATTAATATTGAGAACCATGCAGTCTCTGAAAACGATAAGGCTTGTTGCATGGATTCATGTATGCATTCTTTGCACTTCTTTGGATCTTAAATACTTATTTGTTGTAAAATATGGATTTGTATGATGTGTTCTGCTGTTTTGTCAAAGTGTTGAATTGAACAAATTAAAAGTCTGTAATTGTGATAGCATATACCCCCAGTTATTCTTATTTATTAAAGTGGATGACTAAGAAGCCTTTAAACATACACTGTTAAATTATCCTTTTGACACTTGTGACATAGTGCAGAATGCAGTATTTTCCAAAAATGGTTTCTCAGATATGTAGTGGCCAACAAGGCAACAACTTCAAGAATAGACTGTGGAAAAAATTGATTAATGAGCCTCTCCCTCTATGACTTCATTTTCTGCATTTTATCATTGAGCCTCTCATGACCGAACTTTGGTTTTCCAAAAGACAGTGGTCTCAAAATATACCACATTTTCAGAGCATCACTATTAAATTAATGTTGAGAATGGTAAAAGCTTAGCGAATGTAGTCTACATTTAAAGCTGTTTGGTTTGTTTCTCATTTGTGAAAAATAATTCAACATTATTGCAACAATTCCAATTTGCAGCTGCCGCAAGAGACAAAATATCAAGTCTTTCATTTTGTTTAATTCAATACGCGGAAATATAAATAGGTTGTTTGAACACTATTTTGGGGTAATTATTCATATGTTGAGTTGAGTCAATTGTGACAGTAGGAATGCGTATGTTAGCATTGCATCATTCATATTATATTATGCAAGTTTAGAATACTGTATTTAATAGACATTTGGAAAGTGGCATGGTACAAGATACAAATGTCTAGACTCATGTCTTGATTCAGCCGTTCATCATGACTATGGTAAAAAGATGAATGCTCTCTGCCTGAAGAGCTAATGTCCAAATATTATGAAATACATGTTATCTCTGGTCTGATGCTAAAATATAGGAATGACATTATTAATCCGTTTTGGCCCTTGCTACTATTGCACTTTAGTATCTCTGTGTAAAATCAAATTGAACTCGACTGTAATGACTGTTTTGGCAATGACAATTTAAGTGTAAATCAAATTGACCTCATTCATTTTTTCCACTTCTTTCTGTTATCTGCTAGCTAGAATGATCAACTGTTGCTGAAGAGGACCCCCTTGGTTTGTGGAGCGGGAAGAAGATTAAGAGGCTGTCAATGCATAAAGTTAACTTAGCAATAGTAGCAAAGATAATAGAAGTTCTAGAGCGGAAACTGCTTGTAAAAACAATGATTTTAGTAGTCCAAAAATCTGAAGAGGCTCTCTCACAAGTCATACCTGTATAGTTACTTCCACCAGGGGGTAATGAAATCATCACTCAAAAAGTTAGTGGTGGATTTTAACTTTTTTCAATAAATATTTAGAATAGGGAGGAACTGAAAACTACATTTTGGAGGTGACCCAGATGAATGTCAGGATCCAGATCTGTTTTTAAGGAGCGGAAATGCACTTCTGGCCGGAGTGCTTTACAAGTTGTCAATGCTTATAATTAGGGAGTTACTATAAACCAGAAATGCTAACAAACAAGTAGCTCTGCTGTTGTACCATACATTGCCTTTATTCAAATATGTACATAACAAATGAGGTATTAGCTTTTACCAGGCTTAAAGCTGCGGTTTATTCCAGACAGAAAAGTGAAGAAGAGAGAACCGCTCTTGCTCAGCCCAAAGCGCCAAATAGTGACTCACAGGGCACTTTCTTACGGTTATGCAAAAAGTAAATGAGAAGCGGTCCATTTTGTTCACACAAGTTTACTATTACGTTACTCATACCTTTGGGACAAACAAAAAGTATATATATGTTTTTTTTTAAAGTTACGTACCCCAGTTTAAAAAAGGGGCTCTCCACTTTCTTGCCTTGATGTAAATGCTAGTGTTAGAACAAGAACATTAAAGGCAAGATCCCCTCTTCTGACCTGTAACTTGACCCGATTACCTCACCTGCCTGTTTAGCTGTGATAGACCCTCTATCCGAACAGTTCAAATGCACCTTTTAACCCATGTATTGCTTTTAGCTGCTCCTTACTTGCCCTTTGTGTGTGTTGTCTCCCCTCCTCACACGGCTGCATAGGACAGTCATGCTTCTCCTGTTGACAGTCTGTGGTGTGTGTACCGGATGGGCCCAGCTGCTCTCCACAGCGGCCCCAGAGCAGGATGGCACAGAGCTAATTGCCTGGCAGCCCACGCATCTGCTCTTCAGACGGGGCTGATGAAGCTACGGCAGATGTGCGAGTGTGCAGCAGCCTTGCTATGTTTAGACACCGCTCATCAATATTGCATGCAAAGTTATTGTTGCGCCGGCACTTCTGGAGGCTGCTTTTATCTACCGTTCATGGAAGGGAGGCGCTGTGCTTCAAGTTGATTGTTTTTTTGTTTTTTGTGTGTGATATGGGTACACAGTGGATTGGTGAGCCGTCTCCAAGGTGGATGTTACACACTTTAGTAAAACCTTGTGCAGCGGTGGCACACAAGTATTTAATCTTTGGGTAGCTATGTACAGTATGTGGAGGCTTAGCTAATGAATGTGGAAATTTCCTGTCTTTTGTTTTTAGACTTTTGTTTCAAAACTTACACAAGGTGGAGCCCTGAAACTTTATAATAGAGAGAAAAAAAACAGAAATAGATACGAGAAAAATGTAAGTGGAGGGAGATGTATCTTATTTATTTTGCAATTGTTTTTCTTTGCTGCCTAAGTTGATATAGCCTGGCAATAGCCATCTGTAAACTCTGACCAATTATTGTTTCCCTGCATGTACGTTTGGGTCTGATCCCAGCGGCTGCAGTTACCTCTGTTGTATCCCATCCCACCAATCAGCAAGCAGGGGAGGCAGGTGTTGTAGGTAGGTGTCAGTGACGTTTGCTGGTTGCAGTTTGGCAATGGCGTCGAATGCGATTGTAAAGTCATCCGTTCTGGTTTGGCTCCAAAGATCAAGAAATTGAAGCCAGAGCAAGAGGAATGTTTAGCAAATGTCTTCGCTGGCTAAGATGTTGTGGCTCTACTCCCTGTGGGCTCCGTTAGTGGATAGGAGATGGATAGACTAAATGCTAGCGACTCACTCTGGCGCATTACATACGTCACGCAGAACTCGGATCCAATCGTTTCAGTCTGCAAAAGGAGTTAACCCCCACCTGTTAACGGAGATCAATGGAGCAAATCCCAACCTTAGTATGAAATGAATTTTGTACGATGGTGTAATAAGACCAGGCTAAATTTGATATGCTAATGTTTTATTTCTGAATATATTCTTTCAAGTTGTCTTTGTGAACAACTGATTTGGAAAGCTATATATACATTCATGGATACATCCTCTGATCAAGTTTGAACAAGAAAGGAGGGCAAATGCACAACTCATCCATCAATCAAAATGTTTTCTTTCAAAACATGTACACAATTTTCATATGGAACAAATAATAATGAACAGAAAATGACAACAAAAATAATATTTAATTTTCACACTTTTTAATAGCTTAGAACATTATCGTGAATTGTGTCCTGTA